AGGAAGGGACGGACAAAACGCTGGGTATCCACACAGAACACTCTTCTGCCATGAAAAAGAATGGGCACCGACACAAGCACCCATGCTGCGACCTGGGTGGACGTCTCAAGCGTCCGTCCCAAAAGAACACGACCATGACCCCACTCGGGCAGTCACTCAGAAGAGGGAGGGCCAGAGACCAGCGTAGATCATCGCTCACCTAGAACTCAGGGAATGACGTGGATTAACAGGTGTGGGTTTATTTTTGAGGAAAAAAAAATGGTCTAAAATTGTGAAAGTGGCACATTTCTATTTAATACCACTGATTTGGACAGTCTATGAGTAAATTGTAGATATGCAAATTGTATCTCTATAAACTGTTATAAAAATCCCACTCCCACTCAACTTCACCTTCTAACACAAAAGAACAGAACTTAGCTTCAAGCCACCTGGACTTGGCCGTGCACTCTCTGGCACTCCCCTGCACCTGGCCAGCCCCTCAGCACCCTCGCGGGCTGCATCTGCTGGACCTGTGCACACCCTGCTGCTGTACATCTTGGGGGACGCAACTCCCCACCCCTCACCGTGGGGAGCTGGAGCGAGGAGCAGACTGTGACCTGAGAGCATGCCGTACTGAAGCCCTGCGAGGACAGCGAGGCTCCCACACCTGAGGAGACACCAGAGAAGCCATGGGCTCTGCAGAGGGGGCAGGAGCCCCAGCACAGAGGGCTGTAGGTCATTCTGTATTTTCACCACAGCAAAAGAGAAGCATTAAAAACCACTAAATGTTGGTACTTCCCAGAGGAAAGAAGGGCCTTTAACTAAACTTTTAATAACAACCAGCAGGTTCTGTACAATCCCACATGAGCCTGGTTCTTCTGACCGGTGTGTGAAGCTAATTTTGTCCAAGCGTGAAGTTAGCACATCTCCCCAGAATACCATGGCTGCTCAAGACTCAAGAGACAGAAAATCAGGTAGACAGACCATGAAAGACATGCACACAACAACTGAACTATGGAGGCAACCTAGGTGCCCTTCAACAGATGAATGGATAAAGAAAATGCGGTATGTCTACACAATGGAATATTACTCAGCCATACACAGAAATGAAATCATGGCATTTGCCAGTAAATGGATGGAACTGGAGACTATCATGCTAAGTGAAATAAGCCAACCCCCCAAAACTAAAGGTCAAATATGTTCTCTCTGATATGCAGATGTTAAACCACAATAAGGGAGGGTGGAGAAGAGAGAATAGAAGTTCACTGGATAAGACAAAGGGAGGGGATGGGGATGGGAAAGACAGTAGAACGAATGGGCCATCACTTTCCTACGCTCATGTATGAACACCTGACCAGGGAAACTCCACATCATGTACAGCCATAAGAATGGGAAGGGACACTCCACGTATGTATGACATGTCAGATACACTCTGCTGACATGTGTAACTAAAAAGAGGTACACAAGGCCAGAAAGTCTAGAAACAGGGCAAAGCTGGACCCTGACGTGAGAGCACACTGCTGCGGGGAGACATTGACGACACTCTAGCAGAAAGCAGGGAGCAGGCCTGACTGCAGTCCCTCCCTGGGCACACACAGACTAAGCGCAGCACTGCTCCCCACACTGAGGACGCGTGGACCCACTCTCCCAGGCTGCCGTCTAGGACAGACAACATGCCGTGGGACACGACGTCCTGCTGGAGACTGACCTGCCCAGCCAGGGGTCTCACTGATGTCTGCCCACTGCCCTGCAAGCCTGACAAGTGTGCAGCAGCCTGCAGGTCCAGCAGAAGGACCACCTGGTCACAGCCTGTCTCCTGGTCCAAACATAAGGAGAGGGCAGTGAGGAGCACATGTGAAACTGAGGACGAGCGATGGTGGGCAGGGACGGAGGCCCGGGTCAGCACCCCGCCTCGACCCAGAGATCTGTGTCCAGGGCAGACACAAACCTGCTTCCTGGACAGGCACTTGGACCCTGAGGACAGCCCACCCAGTGTCCCAGCTCTGCCTCTGCAGCAGCTCTCCTGCACCACTGGCAGCAGCGGGTGCTCTGCAGGAGAGGGCCGATTCCTGCCATCTGGGCAGGTGACTCCATGTCCCCACCTCTCAACCCTGCGCAAGCCTCTAACTTGCTGAAGCCAATTCAACACAACCAAAGAGACACCGAAGACTTTGACACTGAGCCCCCACGGCACCTGCGGCTCCCATTCTTGCACTGAGAGCATCTCCAGGCGTATGGGGCACACACAGGCCTCATGGCTAGCCAGACCAACAATGGCCACCCCACCCGATGGACAGGCTAGAGTGGGAGTCACTGTCACTTTAAGCCACTAAGTCTTGGGTGGTTTGTCACTGGGGAGGACAAGACTGACTTATAATCAGACGCACTGAGCTCTGGCTCCCCGTGTAGGTGCTCCTCAGCTGGTAACAGTGCAGAAGTGCCTGTCCAACTCAGGGCTCTGGGACAGCTGCTTTTCCAAGGGGACTCTCTACTTTCTGGTGACCGGTCAAGTATGTCAAATACCAAAGATGATAGTAATATTTAATTAATAGAAACAATTATTTCAATTTATAACTCAAAAATAAATGCATGCTTTTTCCTTTTAGATCCTAGTTTTAGTTGATACAGACTATTAAGCAGGACAGAAAAGATGTTTTCAAAGCAAATCCTAAATAGTGCAATTATTTTTCTTTCAGTTTCTAAAAAAAATTTTATAACACGTTAACAAGCCTAGACCTTAGTGAATAAATATCTTTGCCAGAGGGATGGCTGCATGGTGGAAATTCTTTCAAACATTTTGATTGGAAAAGATTTGGGAGGCTGCTGTCGTGGCCATGCCTGCAATCCCAGTGACTCAGGAGGCTAAGGCAGGAGGATTGCAAATTTGAGGCCAGCCTCAGCAACTCAACGAAGCCTTATGCAACTTAGTGAGACCCTGTCTCAAAATAAAAAATAAAAAGGGCTGGGGATGTGGCTCAGTGGTAAAATGTCCCTGAATTTAATTCCCAGTACCAAAACTAAATAAATACATAAGATTAAGATTTGGGAGCCCATGACCTATTTCAAAGGAGAGTGATCCCCAAGCTTCCAGAAGTGCACCAGTGGTAGCCCTCCAGAGTTCAAAGGTCATCATTTCAGCAGACTTTTGTGATGAGACAGTCACCACTGCCCTAATAAAATGAGATTGGTTTTCTTCTCAGATACAACCTTATACACCAGGCAAGGTGGCACACACCTGTAATCCCATAGACTCAGGAGGCTGAGGCAGGAGGATTTCAAGTTCGAAGCCAGCCTCAGTAATTTAGTGAGGCTCTAAGCACTTAGTTAACCCTGTCTCAAAATAAAAAATGAAAAGGGCTGGGGATAGAGTCGGTGGTAAAATGCCCCTGGGTTCAATCCCAGTACTCCCCTACCCCGAAAGCAAACAATCAAAAACAGCAACAAAATTTAAACGAAAAGCATTTGAGTCTCAGCACTAGCCACCTATCATCCAATACTCCTCAAGAGGAAGGGGATTCCAGGGAACACTTGCCCAGGTGCCAGCAGAGGACAGCCTGCGGGCTCTCTCCAGCCTCCTAGCCCTCCCCTGAGCTCTCTGCAGTAGAGCAAGCCCGCCTCTGACTTTCTGTGCAGGATCCTGACTCAATAGACACCTCTAAACACAGACACACCTCCTGAGAGAAGTCAAGATTGTTCTCTTGCTTGATTTCTGTGGCATTAAAAATAGGAAAAGCTTTTAAAGATGTTACTTTAATTCAATATACAAATACTAGAAAAGAGAGAATGGATTTCTGTATTACAAATGAAAATACATTAGCAATTTTAAAAAAGAACATTTGTCCTAATATCACTTAGAAAAGCAGAGAAAATGTTTTCTAACATACCATATGGGTCCAAAAGAAAACAGTAAGCAGGGCGCAGTGGCACATGCCTGTAATCCCATTGATCTGGGAGGCTGAGGCAGGAGGATTGCAAATTTGAGGCCAGCTTGGGCAACTTAGCAAGACCCTGTCTCCAAAATAAAAAAGGGCTGGGGATATAACTCAGTGGTACAGTATACCTGGGTTCAATCCCCAGTATCACACGCCCCTCAAAAGGAAAAGAAAATAGCGTTACTGAAGTATGTTTGTGTGTTCCTGTGTGTGTGTGTGTGTATGTATATAAAAATAAAATATTTATATATATATAAGTGCTACTTAAGTATATATGTATATATATAATTTTTTTTTTACTATGTCCAATTATTTTTGCCAACATTATCAATACAATCTATAATTAGGAAATTTTTTCAGAATAAAAAAAAATTTCATTGCTGACCTGGATAAAGAAGTTATATGCTAACACCATGATAACACCTCCTGTATGCTGGGCTCTCACTTCCCACCAGCCTCCTGAGAGGAGAAGCTGAATCTGCATCCAGACGTGGATGTGACCCACCCAGGCAGCTAGGTGGGACCGGTCCACATGGGAGCAGCCTGGCTGCAACTGTGCCCTTCAACAGTCTTTTTAGCCAGCCTCTCGGAAGAGGAGAGTGGAAAGACCGAATCCTAGTGGAACTTCAATTGAAAGAAAAAAAGAATACCACTTTCACACTTCAGGAGAACTCAGTTTCAGTGTTTCCAAGGACTTCACTGAGTGTTCATCAAAGCCACTCTTGGCCAGCTTGATAAATGTACAAGACCTCGGTTGGGATGTAGCTCAGAGACCCAGTGCCTGCCTAGCATGTGCAGTGCCCTAGGATCACTCCCCAGTACTGGGCAGGAGGGGGAGTCAGGCCTAGTGGCAGATATCATTCCAGTGACTCAGCAGGCTGAGGTAGGAGGACCCAACTTTGAGAAAGCCTGGGCAACTTAGCAAGACCCTATCTCAAAAAATAAAAAGGGCTGGGGATTCTAGCTCAGTGATAGAGTGCTTCGGGGTTCAATCCCCAATATGGCAAGACAAACAAATACACCAACAGAGCAGCAGAGCAGAGCTGACCAGCACTGGCCTTTAGAAGGCCTCCTACATGCACCCCTTACCTCAGTGTCAAATATCTCCACAGTGTTGTCCAGCAGCTTGACTCTGATGTGCAGGTGCTTCTCCTGCATTCTGGGTGACAACGTCTGCCCTGGTTCGAGGGTGCTCACTCCCATGGGGGTCTGGGTGCTCAAGCGTATCCCTGCAGACTGCAGGACTCTGTACGTTCCTTCTATCTCCCCCATTCCTCCTCTGTCAAAAATGAAGAAAATGCTAAATAAAACAAAACACAGCAGAGAATTACTACTTTAGGTATTATTAAAACAATGTAAAAAACAATCATCAGGCACATGGGAACCTGAGTCTTTTTTTTTTTTAATTTATTTTCTGGTTGGACACAATATCATCTTTATTTTATTTATTTATTTTTATGTGGTGCTGAGGTTCGAACCCAGGGCTTCACACATGCTAGGTGAGCGTTCTACCGCTGAGCCACAACCCCAGCCCCTGAGTATTCTTTCTGCAACTTCTGCAAGTCTTGAATTATATCAAAACAGAGTTAAAAAGATTATCTTTGAGCAGGACACGAAGGCACACACCCATTCCAGTTACTCAAGAGGCTGAGGCAGGAGGATTGCAAATTCAAGGCCAGTCTGGGCAAGTAAGCAAGACCCTGTCTCAAAATAAAAAAACAGAAATGTGTTGGGGATGTGGCGCAGTGAGGGAGCTCCTCTGGGTTCAGTCTCCAACACCCGCTGCCCAAAATGTGTGTATATAAATATATAGGGCTGGGGTTGTGGCTCAGTGGTAGAGCACTTGCTTAGCATGTGGTAAGGCACTGGGTTTGATTCTCGGCACCACATACAAATAAATAAAATAAAGGTCCATCAACAGCAAAAAAAAATATTCAATAAATAAATAAACATTCACACACACACCCACACACACTTGGGCTGGAGTTGTGGCTCAGAGGTAGAGCGCTCACCTAGCATGTGTGAGGCCCTGGGTTTGATACTCAGCACCACATAAAGTAAAATAAAGACATTGTGTCTACCTATAACTAAAAAATAAATATTTTCAAAAAATTATATATGTGTGTGTATATACATATATACACACATATCATATCTATCTATATGTATTTTACTCACACACATGAAAGTGCAGTATAAACAATAACAAATGTAACTCTCAATAATATCTCTCAGGTACTCTGGAAGCCAGGTATGTATATTAACTCACTGAACACCTGAGACCCAGTTAACAAGTGACATCTTCAAAACATCTTGAAATTAATAGAAGATGTTTTGAAGATGTTACTTTTACAAATTCTATCTCAGATGTATCTCAGTAGTAGAGCACTGGCCTAGCATGCACAAGGTCTCAGGTTTCACCTCCTCCTCTGCAAAAAACACACACTTGATGAACTTCCTATCCCCACTCCCTTGCATGCCAACTAAATTGCTGCAGGTCTCCTGGCCTTCTCCTTTTTGTCAAGACAAACCTAATCAAGGACTTTTTACACTTGCATCGTTTGAAAAGCCTGTGGCTCACTGGCAACCAACTCCTACTGTGCACTTAACCCTGTCCCACAAAGCCCCCTTCCAACCCACCTGTGGGAGACAGGCACATGTGCACTGCATTCATCAAGCAAGAGCACACCACTGGGGAAGTGGAAAGACAGCAGGAGGAAAACCCTCAGGCACGACATCTCTGCCAGGTGTGTCTCTCTTTGATTCCTCCAGAAACTGCTCAAAGGCTCTGGTTCCTACGGATATATCCTCATCTAATAACAATAAAAAACCCTGTAGAATGTCCTTTCTTAAGAGTTGGAAAATTCAGCTCAAAAACTGGCGGAGGGATTGGGGGATGAAACACGGGTTGCCCACAGAGGGGAGGCTCAGGAGAGTGTCGCTGGCCTTTCTGCTCACTTTTTCTGTGCTCCTAACACTGCTCTTTTGTCTTTTATGTGTAGACATTTTTAATATCTTTATTACTTATCTTTATGTGGTGCTGAGGATTGAACCCAGTGACTCACATGCGCGAGGCAAGTGCTCTACCACTGAGCCCCAGCCCCAGACCCTGCTGTTTTCTTTTCTTTTTTTTTTGTAGTTACAGATGGATAGCATGTCTTTGTTTCTAACCCAGTGCCTCATGTGCGCTAGGCAAACACTGTGCCACTAAGCTACAGCTCCAGCCCCTAAAACTGCTCTTAAACAAAAAAAAAAAAAAAAAAAAAAGGAAAAGCCCACCAGGGAACACAGAAATGACAGAGACACCCAGGCTCTTGCTCTTCCGCTGGGAAATCAGCCCGTGGCTCCCTGCAGAAAGCACAGCCCCGATCCACAGTAAAGGGTGGTGTGCAACAAAAACCCACCTCCCTTGAAGACTGAAGGTGCCTCCACTAGGAGGATCAGGAGTCAATCTTCTAGACTGACCAAAGAAAGCAGAACACCTGACGTTTTCTCTGAATTTGTCCAACATGCCCAAGACGCTCGGGGTGTTAGGAAGGAGTTTTCACAGTTGGTAACGACCCAATGGACTCTCTAGCTAATCCCTTGGCCTGAGCAGCATTTCTGCTTCACTGAAATGCAGAAGGAGGTGGAGCCTTCTTTCTTCTTTTTCTAAGCATGACTAACATTTTTTAGAATAAGCAACTAAGTGAGAAAGTTGGGAAACAAAGTCAGTCTTGTATTCCATGGCAAGGCTCAAAGAGCTGATTGGAAAAACAGGTGGCCAGGCTGGCTGGCTGGCAGACGGGGCACCCACACCATCCCAGGAGTAGCTGGCATCCCATACACCACCTCCCTGTACCTAGCTCACTGTCAGATGGACGCCAACAAGGCCGACCATCACAGAACCACGGAACCTGATGGGGACATGGCCCTCAGCACCAGAAAGGGCGTCGTTAACTCAAGGTGCTGGTGCTGCTGGGGCAGCTCACCAGCACTGCAACAGGCCCACAGGAAGGGCACTCGTGGACAGCAAGGGCGGAGGCCACCACCTGGCAGTGGGAACCTGGGAGCCAGAGCACCCCAGTGGGTGAACTCAGCCACTTCTCCATGCCCAGCCCCAGCTTTTCACCTGGAAAATGGCAGGGGAGGGAAGGGCCAATCAGATCCTTTTCAACTCTAAGGGTCCAAGATTCTGTTCTAGCAGCTCAATGTGAAAATGAACTAAAAATTGATGTGTTCTTGATTCTAACTAATAAAATAAACCAAATAAAATCGTGTGACCACAGCCTTTCAACCCAGCATATGCAACAGTGCTGCAGAACAGGAAGACTCCTTCCAGCCAGCCTCCACAGCGCAGCAGGAACACCCAGCCAGGAGGGTTCTAGAGACACGGTCACGTTTGCCAACATTACCGTTCTACTTTCACTCCCTAGTTTCTTTCATTGCCCCAACACTAAACTGATGTGTTTAAGTCCTTTAGCACATTTTAGAGCTACCTACTGAGAAATTCCTAACTGTGAGAAAACAAATTCTAAATACTGAAGAATAAGTTTTAAAAGCTGAAACGAGTCCAGATAACTGGGGGGATCTCAACACTGTCTGGAGGGGCGAAGCCAACATGTGGACGTCAGCATCTTCATCCACAGAAGCAGTAAGATCTCTACGTTGTCTGCTGCTCTGTGAACAGCAAGGAACAAAGCAGGTGCAAGGCATGTTAGTGTCACCCAAGGAGGATATATGTATTCATATGCATAAAACTATGGAAGAATAGGCCCCAAACTAACAAAACTGGCCACCTCCCTAGGGAGAAGGAAAGGAGCAGAGATGGTGAGTTGAGGAACTGTCTTCTTTAATAAACTGTGTTTAATAGTTCTGACTTAGGAAATTCATAAAAGTTCTCAGTATTTTAGAAAAGCAAGCCCTAAAAACCTAACAAAATGAAACCAAGATCCTCAATGTATATTAAGACAGTAGCTAAATTACCGAGAAACTCACCTCTTGTGGCCTTAAAGTTCAGCGACCTCAGTTCCCATGGACAGTGAGACACCCTAAGGAATGGGTGTTCTTCCAGGTAACCCAGAGTGTGGTGGTTCTATAAGACAAGTGGCCTGCTTCCTCAGCAAGTGGAAGAACAGAAGAACGAACAGACACTGTCAGAGACAACTTCTGCAATGACTATGTGAGTACTAGTCACTATTTAAATGCTGAGACCACTCGGATGCTAGATGACATTCAGAAGTTAGTGTTACCTTCCACCTGTTTCACTGGTCACATGGCCATGTAAAGGGGAAAAGTCCCTATTCCTTAGAGATATAGACACATTCAGGATAAATGAACTGTTCTACTCAATGAGTTGGGGATCCCATGGATGAGGTATGTGGGGTGGAAGGCTGCCATATGGTGACGATTGAGAATGGACACATGGACTTTGGTACACTCCTGTACTTTTGTGACTCTTTAGAAGCAAAAAAAAAAAAAAAAAAAAACCCATAAAACAATTCCAGCAACAATTTGATGTACACACACAAAAAATGAGACGCTCCAAACTTATAAATGCTGCAGTCCCACACTTTCCATGGGAGCCACTGCCCAGGGGATACAGCTGTTCGCTGGTGGCTACACCCCCAATCTGTGAAGGCGAGACTGGCATCCACAGCTCCAAATCCAATAGGCTACTGTGGAGGTTTTTCAAGATGAAAAAATACCCAACAAAAACTTCAATTTAAAGAACTGTTGCTGGGCGTGGTGGTGCAGGCCTGTAATCCCAGTGGCTCAGGAGGCTGGCTCAGGAAGATCAAGAGTTCAGAGTCAGCCTCAGCAAAAGCAAAGCGCTAAGCAACTCAGTGAGACCCTGTCTTTAAATAAAATACAACATAGGGCTGGGATGTGGCTCAGTGGTCAAGTGCCCTTGAGTTCAATCCCCAATTACCCACCCCCCAATTGTCCTTATTTCCGTTACTGTATTTTCACTAAAATTCCTATTTGTTTTTGGTCTTTATGTCTCCTATTTTTATTTATTTAATCCTGTCTATACTTCTATACTTCCTATGTTTCAAGAGTAGCTTTACTTCTTGGAATATTCTAATAGCTGCTTAGAGGGTTCTTTTAGCTGGGTGTGGTGGCACACACCTATAATCCCTGCTATGAGACAAGAGGGTCGCAAGTTTGAGGTCAGCCTGAGAAACTTAAGGGGATCCTGTCTCAAAATAAAAAGTAAAAAGGGCTGGGGGTGTAGCTTAGTGGTATAGTACTCCCGGATTCAATCCCCAGTACCAGAAAAATTAAATAAAAATAAAGAATATATATATTTTTTGTAGC